TTGACTGAAAATGAAGTTTACCTTGACTTGACTTGATTAAGATGATTTTCTTGCGATGTTTCCTTTCTAAGTTAGGAGAGAAGTTATTTCTACGGACATCTTATCATTCTGCCCCTATATGGTTTCTTTCTCATTGAAGACAGGTCGAACACACCAAGAAAGCAAGCATTGATTTTATTCATTCCTTAAAAATGTGCTTGAATCTGACTGCAGTCTGCTATTCTGTCTTGGATTTTAACTTTTACCATCCCCAAGAAAAGTGTAGATTCATATGGACATCCATTAGGATATTCGGTGCAGTCCAGCTATCGAAGGCATGAAATTCTGACCTGTACGGGATAAGGCTAAGATAGGGGTGTCCGAATTCCATTGGTCATCAAAGCTGATGCTATGACCCTTCTGGTGGTACTGGAATTCAAAATTTGAAATGCCCACGAGAAACTTTGACTGGAATATCAACACAACAATCATTTGAATGTAGTATTGTGTTGTGAGAAGTGTATTTGTCCCGGAACCGGCTCGCAGTGTTTAAAAAAATTCAGTCAGATCGATGTTCGAAGACATGACTCATTCAGGCCGACGCCTGCCGTCTACTGCCACCAGTGGCTCGTATGCTCTGTTGCCTGGTTAGGTTTGAACAGACGGCGTAGTAGACAAGACTGCAACTGAGTGCATTTTGTTTTCTATTGCCAGATAGAAGATAGGCAGATAGACAGACAGACAAGCCAATAGACAGACATAGAGACAAACAGACAAACAAACAAACAAACAGCCAAATAAACCAATGGACAAGTGAATATGCACAGCTCAACACACAGACACACGATAGCACGGATTATTGACAGTCCTCAAAGAAGTTAGATTGGAATGAAGATGAGAATGGTTAAAAATTGAGAAGTGCAACTTTGTGAACATCGTTTATGACACTTCTTCTCTCTCAGCACAAGACCTGATGTGACCTGAAATCAATCGGGATCGATTCTGATACATCTATGTGTACTGTTGTGAATAGAATTGAACAGATTACCCGGGTTTTTCCAGAATGAAAACATGCATCAAAGCTGTATAGATTTAACTTGTTTTGTATCTACAAAATGATACAATAACCGTGCTCTGTTGGCCATTACATACAGAACAATGCGTGATACACAAATTCATCCAAATCGGTGCGAAATTTGGCGGTCCAAGCTACAGATTGGATATGAAAACGCTATGAGACAGCCATTCCATATCACTTGGAAAGCTATTTCGTTGTCGAAGAGAAACAGACTTTTGAAAATCACTCCAGTTTTACAGTATGTGAACAAAATTATAAATTTAGGTCAAATGGAAATAAATTGAATTTGGTGATTGTAGTCAGTCGCAAGCGGTTCGTCTAAAATTTGTCATCTGATTTTCAGGAGACGATTTCATTTGTCTCTGTCTGACCATCTAGATGGTGGTCATGTGATTTAGTTGTGAAATAACCAATGGAAAAAGTGCAAATCTCTTGGCTAGATTATGTTTAGTTTCTGGCTATGTGATTCCAGTATAACTGATCACCCTAATACGCATTTTGGTAGTCAAACGCCTCTTGTTGACAATTTTCTAACCTTGACAACTAAGAGCTTCTTGCCCCATTTACACGGGCTTCGAGTAGTAGGGTGCAGGTGATCAGCCTGGTGATCGTTTTCAAATCGGTACCAAGTAGTTACGGAATTTCAGTGAACTCACACAATTTACTTGCACCACCTCAATCTTCATACTTCAGTGATCAGAATAGCACTGATAATCGGTTTCAGAAATTCGAAACATCGAAAAGAGGCACGTAGTGGTTAACTTATTGGTACGATCGAATGAAATAAATGTGTTGAAGGATGGATGTTTGATTTAAAAATAATGAACCAATCAGCATTTGCGTACATGTGGGTCTAACTGCGCCATGCTTAACTTACTGGTTCGGATTGTTTATTGTATATTCTCCCTAAGGGGACTATTATAACCGAAGATACTTTCTCACTATTGTTGTGCATTCGAAACCGAGTGATGCGTTTTGGTTTTAAGTAGGTTATAGACTGAACACAAAACCTCGATGATAGACCAGAGCAATTTGGAAGAGCCATGCATTGGAAGTGAAAGATCCCGAGAGGGGATTCAAGCATAGAATAATTCAAGGCACTCAATAAACAAACCGAATCCATCTCAAAGGTTTTCTGAAATCCATTACCCGTGTTTAATCGGCACGGGTTTGACTCCTTATTGGTGATATTTGCTGGGAATTCACGTATCCTTGTCTGATGAATTAGTCCTATCCAACGAAACCAGGGGAAACTGTGAAGGGCTGAGTTGAAGTAAGCTACTATTACGGCTAACCTGAATATGCAGGGGGTCAAAGCCAAGGCCCACCTTGTTCGAATTCAAATCTCAGAGCATTTCGTGATTTATATCTGGTAAGATTCAAGTAGTTGTGCATTGTATTTACAGATAGTGCCTCAAAATGGAAACCAATTCCGATGATTCGATTCACTGATTCACTGCGGTACTAGAAGGCTACCATCGATTCTTGCTACAATACGTTCGATCAGTATCAATTTCTAACGTTTATTTGACACAGATAGAGAGATGATAAGAATGTGGTGACTGAAAATAATAAAAAGGAACTAGCCAGAAAAGCGCTGGGTGCAATATCCTCACGACTAACAAGAAACGCGCCGTCAACAAGATTCGCTACGGCATGATCAGTAACTACGAGCGAGTAGGAAAGTAGATTCTGACTAGACGACTTAATTGGTCTACTGTGTAACCTGGTGGTGAAGTTGTACCGACGTCTAAAGGGGTAAGAAGGCTAGGCACATTTGATGAGTTGGAAAGAGCTTTGAACTCCAACCAGATAACTGTTAATCAGACCCATAAAAGTTATTCTCGGTGGAACTACTATGATTAGTGGTTTCAATCCCTTAAAGGATACTAAATGCATCGCATTCTCTTTAATGACCTCTTCGTCTACATTTGTACTTGAATCCCCGTTAGCATTTAGGAAGCCAACACTTTTCCTTATGATGCTTTGTTCTCTCATAATGTTTGCACTCAGTAAAAACAGATTACCCAGTTTTCGTGCAATATATCGGACTAAGAGGTTGTATTTATGAGTCACTCAGTGGTCGAGCGGTTATCCGGCCCACCGCCATTGCAAAGCACCAAGGAAGTGAAATAAGCATGCTGTTTTGTTGTTTGACCACACTTGCTGCGTTTGTAGAACAGCTCGTGGGCAAACTTGAACTGCCATACAAGAGTGATGACGTAAGTCGAATTTAACGTAATTTTGGCCGTTTTCCTTTGCTACCTAGCTAGTCTTGCTTCACAGCTCAGCCCAGGTACCACGACCACCAGTCAAAACTTGTATCCCCTCCGCACCGAGTCAGAGATTATCTATCATTTCGAATAGGTGTGCATAGTCAACTGCATTGATAGACAGGATAGTTACGTAACCGAAAGGGCTGCACATATTCCAAAATAAGTTCTACGAGAGATGATACCAGTAGAGGAACTATAGGATACATATCCCGGACAATTGATAAGAAGCCAGCAATCTTGATCAGTCGTGAGCCACGACGTTCATAGAGGAATAATGTGAAAAGAAGAGAACAAGAACAGCGATTAGTTAATATATGCTTGACCAATGTTCCCTTGTACGTTTTATTTAATTCCTTTGAATTAAAAAAAATAAACTAGCTGCAACTTCTGTGGCCTTCTTCCTACTTATCGTGAGTTTCGTGTAGATAATTTTTTGATTTCGATTCATGATCCGTGCACAGCCCATGTACAGCGGTATACCACGATTATCGTTAGCGGATAACTGATGGCAGTTCTATGCGTTGGAAGCGAAACTGACTTTGGGTGATATTGATTGTCTCCATTTGAAACAGCATCACAGTTGATTATTAGTTTATGTTCAGTTGCGATGTCTGAGCCGTAACTTTATCGACTGCTCTAGCAGATTTGATTCTCGCATAGCGATTATTACACAATCTCAAACCCCTCTCTCCTGCTGTTCACATCGTTACCTAACAGCCACCTCAGGGAATAACCATTCGAGTTAGTGCTCGATAAATGTCAGCTGAAATGGTGGTATCCTTCCTTTACCATCAGTGTGCACTACTTAGAATCCCCATCAGCTATCGTACTTTGGCTTCGCTCCCAAAATTGATTCATTCACACAGTGAATTGGCGAATCGCTGACATGTTTGATATTTCGGTATTCACGAAACTATGCGATATTTCTCATATGCGAGATCGCGTACATCATTCCCGATTTCCCTCCATCCGTGGAGCCAATTCGTTGGAAACCAAAAATCCTGGGGCCGAAAAAAGTGGCTTGTGGGTATTTCGCATGATAAAACATCACACGCACGCACACACACACACACACACACACACACACACGCAGAGCTTTTATTTCCTTCTTTTACTTCGTTTTCTGAAATACATGATAGCACAACTAATTGTCGGAGAGGGAGAAAGCGGTCAACCAACTCCCGGGACGATGATCTCAACCCCGGTTGATCACCGCCTCCCTGTAAATTAAAATGAATAAATGAACACGGAAAAGCTTTTAGCGAAAACAATCAATGCCAGAGTAGCATATGCGAAAATTCAATCTCTAACCGATCAATACAGGCAAAGCGGAAGGTGCCTTGTGTTCGTAAATTGACATTTTGACAAGCCCATATTTGATGTACTTTTGGTAACGCACTTAGACCTGTTCTACCAGAGACAGAGAGAGAGAGAGAGACGAAGAGAAAGAAATGAAGCCGGTGTACCAGTTTGTCCCCTGCTGGATACATTGTATGGCCAATATCTCGGGTGCACGTGACGTGACATCTGCTATATTTCAGTGCTACCGAACTCACGTAATCTTTCATGTTTATTTGATATAATACCAAAATGTAAATTATTGCATTATACTTTACCACAACCCATTTTGACGTTTGCGGTTGCACACGGGAATTGGCGTGACGTACCTGTTGATTTTGCTGTATCATTTCCCTCCACACGAAGTTCGCCGTTCCATGCGTCCATAACTTTCTTGTCGATGAATAGTTCACCAAGCAATGGATTCAGATCCCATCGCCGGAACCATAAGAATAATTCTTCACCAACTTCGACACGCCTCGTCAGTTGGTAGAACGATTGCCCGGTACCGGGCAAGCGTATCAATTCCACGTTTTGTTCCATGGGGTTTCGTGCACTGCGCAGATTGCATACCCACTCGATCAACCGCATGGGATCGGAAAGCCTATGTGGATTTGCCTGCGCGATAATGAGAGGAGCGAACGGAACATCAACAGAGAGAGAGAAGGAAATATTACACGTGTGGGTGTATTAATCAAAGTAGGTACAGATTACATATTACGAATCACGGTCGCAACTAAAGGACAGAATCGCACTAGCCATCGTTGACTAAAATCTCCCGTCTCCAGGAAAAAGGCCGCAGAAGTAGCGGTTGGTTTATTGAGGAAGATCGATGAGATTAGGTATTATATACAAAGGAATTTTATTAGTCCTACGAGTCTCCACCAATGGCCTGTTTGTGTTCTTGACGTCATACAGCTTCTGTCTGGACCGCACGAATTCTGATTGGTCAGCACTATTGGCCTGTGATTCATTGTCCAGAGAATAACGCGTCACTTCGTGGCTGTCGTTATCTTGTAGGCTGGGATCACCACAATGGGTGAAGCAAACTATGTTCACTAAGCGATCGGTAACAGGTTATCAACATAAGGACTTGCAGGGTCCGTGTTCAAGTTGTAGCAACCCGGCCAGATGTGATCCCTTCTTTATGCCTTTGGGTAGACTTTGATAGGACACAACTTCTTCCTCGAAGAGTGACTGTTTCATCATTGATTAAATAACCGCGGTCAAAAGATTTTTATTTTGTTTTTTCATCACAAGGTACCAGTTGGATCTGAAGATAATCATCCTGCTGCTGGTGTCCGTAATCACTGTGAGCATTTAACTCAGGAGTAAAAACTTACGCATCGACTTTTTAAAACATGCATGATAATTCAGTTTTGAGAAACCATGGGATGGAGCGTTCAAATGCATGTGTCATCTATTCAATGTGTTCGTATTTTTCGATGAACCAGAGTGTTTGTTCACATGGACTTTCAGTTAGTTGTTTGTCGCTCACGTGAGCACGCCACACCTGTCCGCAGGGACAACAATGAGATGCACGAAGAAAGCTGCGGTTGCAGCGATAGGTTTCCGAACAGAAAATTATCGGAATAAACGGAATGCCTGAAATGCTGTTGATCACAAGTGGCAAAAATGCTCCTGTCCAATCGTGCCTCTTACCTGCACTCGGATACAGTATCTGACCGGGGATATGTAAATAAAAAATCACTGCCATAATTTATTTGCTTAAGGTTGAAGTTCTTTGTCCTTTGTGGTTTAGGGTTTTGTAATAATCGAAATTAGTAGTAGTAGCAACACGCACGGAACTCGGAACACGGATCACGTAATGCGAATCACGGAACACGAATCAAGGACCAGCTATTACGGACTGGATCACGGAAGCACGGGACCGCAATGGCATTAGCACGCAATGTCCCACGTAACTGAAACGCGAGGAACAGGCCACAGGAATACTAGTTCGTTTATTGGAAGAAATGAGGTCGATTAAATAATATATACACAAGAAGATCATTGGTTATCCAGGCTTCCCCCAATCGCATTGCAGTATTGCTTGCATCATTCTGCTTCTGTCTGAACTGCCCTGTCTCTGATTGGCTGGCACGATCTGTCTATGGTGTGTAGTCCGAAGCAGTGACACGTACGCGCGTCATAGACGTCACCTTTGATCGCAGATGTCCAAAAACTGTGACGCGACACTCCAAGGTAGGCGTCATCTCGTAGGTCTGGATCGCCACAGGGTTGTGAGACAGTATTAAATTGTGTATGTGGTGATTCAACTCTCCGAGGCAACGTCAACCGAGGAACTGCACGTTACAGTTTTTGAATAAAGCAGCACAGGCCAATAGTATCGTCCAATCAAAAGCCAAGCTGAGTGGCCAAGAGAATTTGTGCAGGCGATTCATTAAGCTCTGTTTAACCAATGACATTTCTTTTGACGTGTTATTTAATCACTCTGCTTTCGTGGCATTTTTCCGGTGTCTCTTTGAAGGTTGACTCCGGCAGACCACTACTGGTTTGATTTGTCCGCAATTCTTAATCTACTTTTGTTGCGACTATCACACCATCCCTATTTTTCAGCAATTTTCCACTAACCCTTAACAACTGGACTTGATCTGGTTTGGTATCGGATTTTAATTGAGTCATTCAAGCTGATCTATCTTAGGAAATGTGTTTTTAAGGGGTGAGAAATCTCATATTCCAAGTGATGGATGAAGACACTCAAATGGATATAAAACTGTAGTAGTTATAGGACATACTGATCACGAAAAAGGAATCACGTATCAGAAATCACGGACGTCAAGTAAGCACTGAATTATGGATGAACGAATTAAGCGCTGAATCACACTGATACTGATGCTTGCACAACAGTATCCCACGTAACCGAGACATGAGGTAAAGGCCACAGGAATAGCAGTAAATCATTGAATGAAACCATGGGGTTTGAATACTATGTACAAAACACGTTAATTGGTCATCCAAGCCTCTGCTAATCGCGTGCTCGTATTTCTGGTGTCGTACAGAGGTAAGGCTTAGGCGCTTTTCTGACGTCACCTGGGAAGCTTGAATAATTACAGTTGTCCGGAAACTGTAACGTATCGCTCCTTGGTTTGCACCATCCCGTAAACTAGGATCACCATAAAAACATATCAAAGTTTATTGCTCATGACTGAACCCCATTATGGTTCCATTGGTGACAGATTCGTGTGCAGTGTAAGATACCGTTCGATGCGCATAAAACGTCTCCTCAATAAACCGTTAACATTTTTTATTGGTTTCAGATGTAGGCTTTGGGTTCACCAATCCATTTTGTACGCTCCGATGCAATAGCCACATTCTGTAGTTAGGTAGGCTGTATTTGTTTGGACGTTATGATACTATGGTGCTATTTCTGAAATATAAGTGAGGTGCAAATTGTAGCAGTTGCTGTAGCCGACCCACACTCGTATCGAACCAAATGATCGCCGTAACTGCAATGCATCGGTTATCTGATTTCAAGCGGCACATAGGAGTACATGGAGTCTCATGCCTTGTTTAGAGAACTTTCATCGATTCCCGCATTGATTTTCAGAGGCATACCGATGTAACTCGACCAAAAAAATACGAGTAAGCCGCGAAGATCAATAAAGATCTCGGCGGTGTTGTGTACACTAGTGCCTAGGCTTTTTCATGCGTGTATTTATGATTGTTCCAGCTCAGATAGCCTTGAAGCACGTGACATAGATCTGTTTTATCAAACAAACGGGTCATGAGCTCAATTGCCACGCACGATACAGATGATTGTCATTCACTTACCGTTTGCTACGTGAATATACAGTTCAGTAGTGTTTGCTATACAATGTGCAGCACATTTGGGCTATAAATGTCTCACGCAACGTGCGTGGTGAGCCATTAGATGCACAACGTTTCGGTTGAAACACAACATCTACGATAAATCAGTTTGACAGGGTCATAATCGGAACCCGTTTGGCTTTCCATTTGGTTGTGTCACTGCTAGACCAAAGTTGATCAGTTTGGGCAGGAGAAAAACGAAGTAAGGTTAATAGGATTTTTTGCGAAAGAAAGATCATAGGAGTCATAAAGATTTAATAGCCCAAGAATAGCCAGAATATCCATAGACCATATAGCGACTAGACAGTCACTTTGATTCATTCAGGATCAATTTCTCGCATTTCTTGACAGGCATATTTCGTGCGGTTCCAGTTTTCCAAATATTTCCCCTCCCGTTTGTCAGCTTTGGACTGGAGTAACAGCCTAACATTCGTACTGGCGACGGAAATCACACCTCAATGAAGGAAAACAAGTTCGAATACATTTCAAAGGTGTTGATCAGGAAATTGAAAATAAAAATACCTTTTTATCAAATAGTATTGTGATGCAGGGGCACAGGTAAAGTATGCACGTTGCTTGAATTTCATGCTATCATGGGATCTAATATTCTCGTTCGTGTTGGTAAAGCACCACGATCAACACACATCAAGTTGTGTTCCATCATTGCACAATCTGGCACAAAACAACACGCATCAGTAATGATCTGTTATTGTCTGGTATTAACACCGACTGCAATGAAGTTTCAGGTAGGCACTTGAATCCCTCTGTCCCTTCTCGTCGGAGAAGTTCAATCTCCATAGATAACCACATAATGTACCAATGTGTTGCTGTCTTACTCTTTCCATGAGGCCAAGTAGCCCTCTCACCGTTCAGATCACAAATTTTCCTCACTGGTCTCAGTGTACATTTTGAACAGGGAAAATGTTGTAGTTGAAGTAGGCACAGATCACGAGTTACGAATTACGAATCACGGAAGCCACGGAAGTCCTGAACCGCAATATCACTTGCACGCTGGTATCTCACGTAGCCGAGAAGCAAGAAAAGTCCACAGAAGTAGCAGTCTGTTTATTGAAACAAACCAATGGGATTAAATAAAATGTACAAAAGAAGTTTATTGGCCATCCATCAATCGCGTGCTTTTATTCTTGCTACCATACAGCTTCTCTCTGTATCGCACGGCTTCTGATTGATCGGCACGAGTGGCCTGTGTTTCGTTGTCCAGAGGCTGTAACGCCTAGGCGTTTAGCTAGCATCATCTGGGAGGGTTGAGGTCACCGCTGTTGTCCAGAAACTGTGACGCGTAGCATCGTGGCTAATGTTATCCCGTAGGCTAGGATCACCACGGAAAGCACATTCCTACCTTCAGGGTAATGAGGCTGTAAAGTGATTTCTGCTCAACCAACGTAATATCCTTCCTTGTAACTTTGCGCTTGTCTGCGCTTATGCACGGGTTTACTTGAATCATTTTATCCATATGGAAAACTGAGGTCTTTGTCGGTTGCTCTCCACATCTAAACAATGAGCATCTCGGCTTTCACACAACCATAGACTTGGAACTACATTCCACGAAATGTTTTTAGGAATCCTCCGTTTTTCTACAAATGTGCAAGAGTACGACCATGAAATTTGTTGTGCTTATTTCATAAGCACCTTGAGCTCAAATATTGATTAAGAAAAATCAATTTTGTTTTGGAAAATATATCCTTAAGGTGGGAATCGTATTAGAGCACCCCTTGATCAAATCCCTAGAAGTAAAACCTTCTGATGTCCAAAAATGCAACGATCAC